AAAGGGAGGGGACACGCCTGGGGGGGAGGGGGGAGAGGGGGGAGGGAGGGAGGTTTCGGTGATGGGCCGTAATAATCAACCACATCGTATATTGACAAAATAAAAATTTAAAGGAAAAAAAAAAAAAAGAAAAAAAGAAAAATCCCCATGAATGGATGCCCCATCCTCAGTGCCACATGCCCAGTACCCACATCTCATCAGGGAGGCTTCTATGGGCCCAGGCCACGTCCTGATGCTGCTGACTGTGCTGGGTCTGGCTGCCTCCTTCCCCAGGCAGGGCTCAATCCTTCAGGACCCAGGAAGGAAGGGCCTATGAGTGCAGGAGGTTCCAGAGCTAAGGGCAGGCCAGTGTTTTGACCCCTTGGAGCAGAGCTGAAAAGGCTGCTGAGTTTTAATGAGCTTCCTGTCACTTCAGAGTGACATAAACAGAACCTGGAGGCCCCTAGAGGGAACTGCACAGAGGGACTCTGAACAGGGAAAGGGAGCTGGATGGACAAGGTATTCTGTAAGGCCTCTTCTGACCTGCAACCTAAGGGTGGCAGGTTCCCAGGGCCATGGGGAGGATGTGGCTGGTCAGCTGGTGTGGAAGTGGGTGATAGGCTGGGGAGGAGGACCTGGCCCAGAAGCCAGAGCAACTCTCCTCAGTCCGGCAGGGACACGTGGCATCACTGGCCCTGAAATAAGAACCCACTGGCCGGCACTGTGTTCAATACACACTGGCTGCCTGATGGCCACTGAGAAGGCCAGTGGTGCAAGGAGCAGCCCCTGGGACTCAGCCAGTGTTGAGGAGCTGCAGGACCCAGAGGTGACCTCAGATGCCCCCTGCTCTGCTAGTGACCCCTGTGCGCATCTGCGTCTTCTCACACATGGCTCCTCTTCCTCACCACCAAGCCCTGATCTAGCTCCTGCCTTTGCCCTCCCAGACCTCCCACTGGCCTGCCTCCCTTAGTCTACCTGTGCCTGCACCACCCCACCTGTCACTATCAAACAGAGATTCTGGAAACAGCATCATCCTTTCTGCCCCCACTGGAAACCCTCCAAAGCTCTTTGCAAGTGGCAGACTCCTGTGCTTGGCATTCAAGGCCTCCAGCTCCCTGTGTACTCACCTGATCTGTCTCTGCAAGGGTGGGCACTGAGCCTCCCTGGCACCCAACCTAGTGCTTGGATGGAGCACGTGGTAGGCTCTCAAACAGTGCTTGCTGGAAGAATGCCCAGGTGAGCCCATTCCTCCAGGAAGCCCTCCTGGCCCTCTCATGTGGCTGGTATCACTCTTTGCCTGGATGTAATGCAGTGTGGTAGAGCAGATAGGACCAGGCCTCCAACAGAGACACCCCTCACACCCATCTGCAGCTGTTCCAAAGGTGAATGAAGCTCACACCCCTACCCAGGACCTAGTAGGTGATCAGTACGTCCCTTCTCTCCCAACTCCCATCTGGACTGAATGCTCCTGAGGGAAGAGCTGGCGAGGTCATCCTGCATACACTAGACACTTACTACATGCCTGCTAGATGCTTGCCAAAGGACATCCTCAGCCTCCACCTTCTCCTCTCCAACTGAAGGGTCTAGAGTAGGGCCTGCAGGGTCTGGCTTGGACCCAGGCTGGAGGCTTCTCAGTTCCTCTCTATACCCTTGACATCCCTGATATTCCCATTTCTTGCACAAAGGTCTGGGTGGAGCAGGGTCAGCTGAAGCATCCTTTACACATGTGGGAACTGGGGTTAACTGTGCAACAGTGGAAAAAGGATGGGCTGGGGGCCAATGGCCTCAGCTTGACCCCTGGCTCCACTGGGGCAGGTTAAGCAGATTGTTTATCTTACTTTTTGGGTGCTTCTCATATGTGAGGTGGGGTGGTAGAGGGATCACCATATCAGGCTTGGAAGCAGGAGGCCTGAGAGCATATCCTGGCTCTTTCGCTTATAAGCAGCTGCCCGGCACTGGCCGCCAACCTTTCTGCCCAGCATCTCCCTTAATCCTCATCACAACCCAGGGAGAAGTTTCTATCTCAGCCACGTTACAGACGAGGAACACTAAGGCTCAGACAAAAGGTGCCTTAGGCCTCAGTTTCTCATATATAAAATGAGGCCACCAATCCCCACCCACCCACCTCAGGGTGCTAGAGAGAATTCGCAGAATGGAGTGTTTGTGAATTGCAGAGTACTGTGAGGAGGTCACTACCAAGGATGGAGGGGACTGACTGGCCAAGGAGACCCCCTTTGCAAGTCACCCTCACCCAAGACGCTGCCCTTTCCCCTCTCTTCTCCAGCCACCAGACATTCTGGGTCTCCCAGCGAAAACCCCGGGAGACCCCTCACAGAGGGAAGGCTAAACAGATGCTTGATCCCTGCAGGCTCAGGGAAGTCAATTGTGGGGAAGAAGGAAGGAAAGACAGAGGGAAGGAGGGAGGGAATTCCCTCCTGACCCCGCCTGATCCCCTTCCTTATGGAAACCTGAGCGCAGAGCACCAGGAGGCCTTTCCGCATTCCGCTGGTGACTTCATGGCCTTTTCTCTTCCTGTGCTTCACATCCCCCTGTCATCCTTGTTCCACCGACAGCAGTCCCAGCCCTTTCTAATTTGCTGTTTCAACTCAACAGGAGGCCGAGTTAGGAGTGACGCACAGTGAGGGTTAAGTGGTGACGAGCTGAGGCCTCAGCTGAGCCAGGCACGTGGCTCTCCAGAAGCCGCTCTTGAGCTCTCTTGAGCTTTCTGTGTTTCTGGCTGTGCTGTAGTGAGGCAGGGATGCCAGCTAAGTGACCTTGGGTCCTGACCAGGGTGCCCTCCAGGACTCTCCCATGACAGACAGCAACTGTGGCCCAGGGGTCCAGCCTGTCTCTCTGCAGCCCTCGGGTGCTCAGCACAGACCTGGCTCCCCGTGGGGTCTCAGGACACCTGTAGGTTGGCTGCTCAGCTCTATGTAGGTTCCCCATTTCTCTCTGGGTCCCCCACAGGCCATTCTCCACCGGGAAGCCAAACCCAAACCAACATTTGAAATTCAAATCTGGTCTTGTCACTCATGCCCAGCTCAGAGCCCTTTAATAGCCCCCCAAAATTTCCAAAAAGGGCCAAAATTCTCACCTGTGGCCTGAAGGCTCTGTAGGGCCTCCCTTCCCCTCCAACCTGTGTCATCCCCCTCACCCCCCCACGGTAGTAGTTCGGCCTCTGCAAAGTCTCTGACCTCTCGGACCAGGCCAAACTGCTCTGCCTTGGCTGTCTTAGTCCCTCTTGGTGGTGGTTCCTGGATCACCGTAAATTTACCTTTGGGTTATGTGACCAGTGGTGGCCTCCCCTTCGAGTCACTTAATCCATAAGGGTGGGGTCATGCCTTTCTTGGTCAACATGTGTGGTGCCTAATAGGTACTTAATAAATGTTGAATGAACAAACCATGGGTATCCCCGTGTCTTTCTAGATTTTTGCCTTGGAAATCTCTAAATCAGTCCCCCTTCCATTTTCCTGTGTCTCCCACCTTCAGCAGAGAGTCTGGGGCGGAATGCCTAGGGCTCTGGGAAGATGGCGCTGGCTGAAATGGTGGGGTGGGGCGAGCCAGGCCCTGCCTTATCCTCGGAACCCCTCTCCGTCCTTCCCTCTCCCCCCAGCTCTGGGTGGACATTGGGGTCAGGCTGGTTTTGTTCCTTTGGTCTGCAATTCCCTTCCTGACCATCTCCACACTGGGTCATCGCCAGTGAAGACTGAATCCAACCCAAGATATGAGTCCCAAGGGTCAACCCCTACTTGGGGTTATAATATGTTTGATCTGTTTAAACACCTTGGTGCTGATATACAACAAGAACTTTGGGATTCAGTGGTTTGACTTTTGGGAAACTACCCTGAGAAAACAATCCCACAGATGGAAAAACCTTTATACACAAGGATGTTTGTTCCTCTTAACAGCAAATGACTGAAAATGACCCAGTGGCCCATCACCAGAGGGCTGATTAAACTGTGGCCATCCAATTTATGGAATACTATGCAGTCATTTGGAATGTGGAGAACAGCAACTAATAAAATGAGCAAAAGGGCAGAATGCATGACCTTACAGTTTCACCAGGATAAATCACACACGGGAAGAAACCCCAGCATTGGACACGTAGGTGTGAGGCAGGGTGCAATCTGGAGAGACCTCTTCTCCTTTGCTCTTCTTGACAGACTTTCAGCACTGGGTCACGCCAGTCTAGCGCCAGGCTCCCAGTCCTGTCCTTGGCTGTCCACCCTCTCCCAGAGCTGAAGTTTCCTGAAGGCA